ATATATATATATATATACACAAATATATATAAGCACAAATGCTTTACTTTCTGTATTTTTGTGTGGATTTATTTCCAGTATTCAGTGTGAAAGCTCAGTGAAGACACGGAGAACTGATGTGGGACATAAGAGTGGAGGAAGATCAGTGAACACACTCTCTCACTTCAACTCCTCCTCCACCTCCCTGCCTCCCCTCCTGCTCTACGAGTGTTTTTACGTCTCTCTCAGAGAAGAAGCATGAGAGGAGCTGAGGAGGCTGCAGGCTCTCTGCGAGGTCTGAAAAAGGAGCATTTTGTTTCCACTTTCATCCTCCTGACTTCCTGAGCTGCTGCACACACACACACACACACACCTGTCATCAGAGCGCACACACAGAGGTGAGCTGCTGGTCTCTGCAGGCTGTGAACATGATGGAACAAACATCCAGGATGCAGCAACAAGATGCTGTGTTTTCTGATGCTCCCTCAGGTAAGCAGAGCTCTCCTCATCTTTTCGGCTGAGCTTATTTTAGATTGTCATGTCAAACACAGATTTCTCTCACAGAGTTCATCTGTTTGTATTTACCCCTCTGAACCTGCACTTTGAACGATAGCTTCAAGTCTTTTGCATCTGCAAATATTTCAAGTTGCTTTTCATCATTTTAAACATATTCTTTACTATCTTTAGAAACGTATTCTACTTTGAGTGAAAAACTTGTGTCCATATGTCTGCCCTTCTTGACATCACACCATCATCTCTCCAAAAGGATGTTTGCAGCACCACTGGGCTTGTATCAGCTTCATTTACTCCTCTTTGATGTCTGATTGTGTCCCTGCTGATGAAAATGAAAAATCTGGACATTCTTTTTTACATTTCTAAGATCTCCTTCTTATCAAAAGTTTTAGAACAAGTTGCTCACAGCCAGATGTGGTTAAATCTTGACTGAATCACATAAACCCACAGTCATAAATACACAGCCAACATGTCGTAAATTAAACTGAGAAATCCATTGTCATTTTTGAATTGGCAGCAACACAGTTAAAATGTTGCCGGTTACTTTAAGGGAAAAATATCCTGCAGCTGTTTCAAGTTTAAACAACTTTTACAAGCTTTTGTTGCATGAGTCTCAACTATTTGAGATTTAAAAAAACAATTTTCTTCAGAGTTTTACAGTTCTTTAGTTTGAGGATTAGACATATTTGGTCTGATGTGAGTAAATGAGTTTCTGAGAATTAAAAATCAATGAATTCTGTTTTTAATTAAAAAAATTACAGAAAGTACTGACTTTTTCTGATCGGAGTTGCACAAAAATGATGTTTTTGATTAAAATGCTTCAATAAATCAACTCATCCCAGTTTGATACAGTAACTGGACAGCTCCTGAAGTACAGAGTTAAATGAGTGACAGCGTACATTGATATTGAAAAAGAGATTTGACATTGAAAAATGAAACACTGAAAAATGTTTTCAGTGTTTCTTTCAATGTTTCATTTTGCAAAGTTGTGTTTTTCAATGTTTCATTTTTCAATGTTTTATTTTTCAGTGTTTTATTTTTCAGTGTTTCTTTTTTCAACGTTTCATTTTTCATTGTCAAATCTCTTTTTCAATATCAATGTAAGCTGTCACTCATTCAATTCCGTACTGAAGCTGAGTAAATGTTTTAACCCGAGGCGCTCCACAGTTTCACCAGCAATTTCTTTTTAATTTTATTTTGCCTTTGTTTTAATAAAGGGGGCAGCATTTATGTTTTTTTTTTACAAATTCCTTATCTGCAAACGATAATCCTAATGTCCTCTTGGAGGAAAATATAACATCCGTTTGGTTTAAAAGCAGATCACATCGCAGAAAGTTTTCCAAGATTTTATTCATTTACTTTGAATTGTCATTTATAAGTCTGATGTTTTGGTTTTGTTGGATTAAACAACATCATCTAACAAATTCTAATGAAACTCTCAGAAAGTAATCCCTGAATGTACATCTACAACTTCGAGTGAGTTACCCCCAGCTAATAAACCTTAGCTTACACAAATATAGTGCTAGTGAATTTGACAGATATGTATTTACAGAACTATATCGCCATTTGTATCATATTTGCTACGCAGGATTCTGTGACCTATATTTTATCTATGTGATCAATATTTTCCACAAAATCCTCTTGTGTATCATGTGACACCTGTATTCTGCCCTCTAGTGGATTAACAATGTACTGCAGGAAGTGGAACTTCTTTTTTTGCCTTTTCAAAATGTCTGCTGACATAAGGTCATCCACACATTTTTTCAGGAAAACTTTTGCTAATTTTGGAGAAGTTATGGTAAGAATAACATCAATATTGTTTGTAATTTTTTAATAAATACTTTCTGTGTTGAAACAATGCATAATTACTTAAAAAATATTTTAAATAGTACAGATAAACCGTGTTAAAAATTTGCGTATCAAACTTGATAATGCAGGTATTTAAGTTGCTCCAGTCCTGAATTGTCATGTGACATTTTAGTAATTTTAGCAATTTAGTCAACAGTATTCTTGCCACAATACAACCACACACTATTTTGGATGATTGATTAATTACTGAAATGCCATTTGAAAACACATTTTGGCTATTTTCAAAGTGGTTCCTTTGAAATTATAATCTCTACGCTGTACTGACTAAATATTTACGTGTTAGATGTCTAAGAGAATTGAGGAAGAAGAGAGAAAAAAGAAAGTAAGAAAATGTCATCAATTTGATAATAGATGGCATTTTTTTATAAAGTGTAAGGTGCACCTGTGCCTAAACAAGGACAGAAACTGTATTTGTGCCTATCACAAAGTGAGATAAATGGCAGTAAAAAGTTCATTGTAAAAAAAAAAAAACCAAATAAGTAAACTTCCTAGACTGTTCTAAACTTGTTAAAAGTTATGGTCAAAACTGTCTTTTGTTTCTTAATTTAACTTCGTTGTGAGGAAAATGTTACTTAAACAGCCCAGTGGATCAGATTTGATACAAAAATATATCATAAACAAAGTCATGTGACAAAAAAAAGGATTTTGTTTAAAGGCCCAAAAAACATGTCAGTTCTAAAAAAAATGGGAATTTTCTGACTATTTTTCAAAGGGTTAGGCTTTAAAGGGTTAACAGACAACTCTAAATGACAGCCCTCTCTGTGTTTTAATGGCTCCTTACTGCAGACATGACTGGTAATAATGTACAATCAGCAGCTTGTTCAGACTTTAAACATGTTATTGTATCAAAGCAACAGTTTGTGCACAGAGTCGAACACGGACTTCCAGCCTCAGAGTCATACAAGTTACATAATCCTCCTCACAGACTCCAGGACAATCTGAAAGTGAAAAAACTCAAAGAGTCAAAATGTGTTGGGAAAGAACTGGTAGCAAATGTTCTAGGATACTATGATACTGCAACATAAACAGAATATAAAAACAACAACAAAGAAAAACACTCACATTATCAACATGAGTCACTTTGTTGGAGTTAGAGTCAGGATGGAAGCAGACAAATGCTTCTGAGAGACGATCAGGTCTGAGCTCAGTTTGTAGCAAATGTTACTAACAAAACAACTAAATAATTAAAAGATGTTACTTCTGCTGTCAGGTCTTGGATGTTTCAGTAAAAATTATATTTTCATGTTTTCAGTTTGTTGGCTTTCATCTCATGATGTTGGCATGTGGGAATGTACTTTAGACTCTCATTGTTTTCACACTTCAGCTCTTCAGAGAAACTTAACAAGTTGACTTGTTAGATCACAGTGTTCAAACTTCATTATGAGTTGGTGAACTGAGAAATTTAGAAAGTGTTTGAAAGGACCGTTGGTCAGTCCTGAGACTCAACCAGACTTTGTGCTTGTTTAACATCCTTATTATCCTTATTTAAACTTGTGTTTTTTTTCAGTATTTTCTATACATTAAACTCTTGTTGTTGGGTCAGTATTTAAACCTAAACTCTTAAGTTCAGCCCAGAGTGCAGTTTGACCTTCAGCTGTTGTGTTTCTTGTTTGCTGCTCCTCAGACGTGCGGTGTCCTCTGCGGCAGCGGATGTCACGTGGACGTTCGTACGAAGAGCGAACTGTGTGGAACTCCAAGTACTCTGTGATCACTGACTGTCAGATGCTGCTTCCTGATGAAGAGGGGGCGGTGAGAGGAGCCTGTTTCATCCCCTGTCTGTTTTATTCAAACAACCATCACTGTTTGGACTTTAAGCAGAGTTTATTTTTAACAGTCAGCATTTCTGTGTCAATGGTACGATTCTAAACTACCTGTGGAAGAAGTACATCTTCATTCCAGCTAAACCACACCAGTCCAACAGATAAAAGGCCTTTATTGTACACATATTAATCTAGACTGTGATGTGGTAGTAGCTGAGAGTCATCCACAACACATCAGTAAGATCTTACACTACTGTACATTTCATCAGTTACAAAAGTTCACTAGAAGGACTAAAATGCCATAAAATCTCAGCAAAACTGTTCCCTCTACAGGGGTGTCCTCTTCCATCTCACTGTGTCCTCTGTCTTCTGTCCTCATTCCAACTAACTGTCCTCTAACTGCATTCACATCGGTTATTTGCCTTTCTCCTGCACTGAAAAAAAAAAGGATTTTTGGTGTAGTAACATTTATTTAAATATTCTTTTAAAATTTACAAAAAAATAAAAATTTCTGAACTACTAGAATTTACTAAATGAACAATACAC